TCTAAAATAGGTTGGATTGGGTTTAAGGTGATAAGCACGACCTTTTTTGTTGTGGGAAATCAAACAAAAAGTATACTATTTTAGGTATAAATTCTGATTTCATTTGATAAGTTCAATCAAATTTAATTATGACCGAATCAAACAATTTTGAACAATATTAAATTAATCGATTACTTTTGAATTAATTTTATTTGATTTTCACGTCAAAAATTTTCTAAAATACTATTTATTTATTTTTTGTGGAAAATATCGGCTGGATGAAGAGGTCAAATTGAAATTAAAAAAATATTGTTATTTTGAAAAATATATTTTGTAAACCTTAAGTCATAAAAATATGGTCAATGATATCTTTAAATACAACGGGTAAATATGGTCAATAATATCATAAGTTATTTTTTATATTCGGGTATTTCAACTTAATTGATGATTTTTTTTTCCAAAAGGTATGATGATCATATAATTAATTTTATCATATATCTAATGTTTGATGTTATTAGTTTAGTTGGGGATACCCATTATATTCAAATAAATAATATATAATTTTTCATATTTGGTATTTCTTTTTTTACAATAATGAGATGTTAAACATAAATAACTATGTCTAATATAAAGTCTTAGAAAAGGTTTTAAGTAAAAAGTCCGTCCGTACATCGCACGGGATACACACTAGTTTTTAATTAAGACTCGTGTATTTATAACATGAACTCAATTAGAAGTATGGTCTTATTTCATTATTATTTTTATCCACCAAAGTATTATTCCCCATATTCAACATTCACATGTATGAAGAAATTATCACATTTGACCCCACGCGCTTCTATTTGAATCAATTAGAGCTCACCACAACTTGTGTATATATCATCACACTTCGACGCCCCAAAAATCACTAATAAACCCACCAAACATTAAACAAAAAATCTCCAATCTCCCATATTATATAGAACAACTTCATCTCTCTTCAAGAATCCTAAAGAAAAACTCCATCATGCCTCGAAAAATTCTACTCCTTTACATGTTCTTGATAGTGTCTCTGCTCTCGACATCGTTTTCGCGCGCACGGAAGCTTCCGGAAGATGTGAGCCCAGGTAGAAGGCCTCCAACATTTTCAGACCAGTCGTCGTATCTTACGGCGCTTCCAAAGGAGAAAGTGCTGAAGGGCCACTCTTTCGCCATCGACGAGAAGCTAATTATCCGCCACCTCCGAGCCATCGGCCGGATTTTAAGAGAAAGCGCGCCGAATCCCGGGACCGGAAATTGACCTAAGTAATATACATATGTAGTATGATGATTAATTATACCATCTTGGTATATATATATATTCATGCTTTTATGATATATTTCTCAACAATTTTGAAACTTACTTTTTTTTTTTTTTT